GGTGCAAAAATTGAACATTTTGCATTTTCAATGGCCTAGGAAATATAAAGCAGCCCCTCGCCCTAGGTGCAGACTTATACCAAATGAAAGTTTGAAGTCTCAGCTTTAATTTAAAGTAGAGGACATATAGCAAAAGTTTGCAAAAGCACATTAAACATACAAAAAACTACAAAAAGTACGTAACGCGCACATTCTGTCGCTATACGTATGTTAGCATGCAATAGCATGTTTACAACTTTTTACTTTTATTTTTTTTAATTGTTTACTATTCACTTATTGTGCAAGAGAATAGTAATAAATTACATTTGTTTTTTGTTAGTTATTCAGAATTATGCTTTAAAGATCATTTATGTTTTAATAAAAATATTCTTGTTTACATAAATTTTATTTACGTTATTAATTTGATAGATAATTTTGTTGAAGGTCATTGACTTTGGGTTAGATAGTTGCATAATTTTTAATTTAAATTGATAGTGCAAGATATTGTTCTTATCTAAGTTGTGTTATGATCACTTTCTGATGTTGTTAGTTTAATTGTTATATTGTAGTGCCGCTTGTCGCCTGGCAGGAAAATAGAGTATTTTAAAAGGTTCAATCGAAAATACCAACGCAATCTTATTTTTGCTAAAAACAAGTAGTTTCTTTCCCGCCATCTATCGGGCAAGTTTGCTTGTATCCCCTGGAGCCAATCCTCCCCAGCAAAAAGTTCGCCGCCACTAGCTAACCGCTCACCTTTTGTGAATTTGTGAAAGAAACAGCAGATGTTATTAACAATGAAGTAAATCGTGTAAATGCAGAAATTCAAAATTTAAAAACGACAGAATTCGAAATGTTCAACAAAAAGTTTGCGATATCTCATAGTTTAACTATGACGATGATTGACGGAAAAGTGGCAACAACAGTCAGTAAGAATTGCTCGATGGCTGTTTGTTTCATATGTGGAGCAAAACCTACTGAAATGAATAATTTGGATGCAGTTATTTTGAGAACAAATTCAGCTGAAGCATTGAAATTTGGAATTTCGCCGCTACATGCTCGAATAAAATTCATGGAATGTATATTACATCTCGGTTATAATAAAAGTTTCAAAGCGTGGAGGACAAATAAAGATACAAAAGAACAGAAAGAAGCTGTTAAAACAGAAATGAAAAAAAATTTCAAATTAGTTCTGGGCTTAAAAGTCGATGTGGTGAAACAAGGCATGGGAACAACCAATGATGGTAATGTCTCTAGAAGATTTTTTGAACATCCAGAAATAACCGCTGACATAACTGGTGTAAATGTAGACTTAATTCACCGCTTTAAAATTATATTAAATACTATAAATAGTAGTAAAAATATAGATGTTGGTAAATTCCATACGTATTGCATGGACACTGCAAAATTATATGTAGAGCTTTATGGCTGGTACTACATGCCCATCACTGTGCATAAAGTTCTCATTCACGGCAGCAAAATGGTATCTGAGGCTATATTGCCAATAGGTTTGTTTGCAATTTTTATTTTTGAAAGTATTTTTTTAAACTTTATTTATTTTTTTTTATTAACTTTTTTTTTTGCTACAGGAATGTTATCCGAAGAAGCGCAAGAAGCAATGAATAAGGAGTATAGAAACTGTAGGCTATTCCATTCTCGTAAAAATTCACGTATTTCTACGAATGAAGATGTAATGCACTATTTGCAAATATCATCAGATCCTTATATTAATTCATTTAGAATGAGAAACAAATTAAAAAAATTAGAATACCATGATGATGTTAAAAAATTATTGATTGAATGAAAAAAAAATATTGTTTTTTTTTATTGCATTTCAATGGGAGGTGGGCGTATTAGTGGGCGTGTTATTGTAATTTTTGCATGAAACATTTTAAATGATATAAATTACAGTAATATCGAATTTGAAGGTTGTATTTAATATATTTTAGAAAATATGGCACTTTTTATGTTGAGGTAGTATGGGTGATGGGGTTAAAAGTGGGCCAAAGTTCAATTTTTATTTCAAATAATGTTTGTAACTATATAACATTCAAGTATACCAAAATTGAAAGTTATACCTAAAGTATTACGGACAATACGGCATTTTACAAATTTCGACTGTATGGCAGGTGGGCGTAAAAGTGGGCGAATTTTCTTAATTTTTTTTTTAAAAACTGGAATTGTCTCAAAAATAACCTGTGCAAAATTTCAGAGCTCTACAATGACTCCTTGTATTTAATGCCGGCGTTGTCTCACTGTGCGCCGCGGCGTTGCTACTGCCGCCAATTATTTCTAAGATTTACGACGCCGCCGCAGCAATATCTATCGGCTTAAACCTCTAATACATAGTACACATATATACAAATGCATATATGAACATATCAGGTCCGGCCGCAAGGGGGGTTTTGGGGGTTTAAACCCCCCTGTGGGGTGAAATATGCATACAAATTTGCCATCATTTAGTTTAACAACTTCCCTGTCCAATGAGTCATATGTGACTCACGAGAGCGTGTTGAAATAAGTTCATGAGTCACATGTGACTCATTTTTGTGTACAATTTCGGACAAATTTTTTGGTGTGAACGGTACACGATATTTTTTGGACGTGGGGCATTAACAAAATGCATTGTATGAGGACAGGGAAGTTGTTAAGGTAATAATTATAAAAATATTTTAAGTTCTCCTTTAGTTATACCTATAGACCCTTATCACCCACCACTTGAGTTGTCCTTGGCACCATCCTACGATTCATGTTATTGTCCTGAAACTAGAAAGCCGAAAGGTCAGCGATATTCTTTCAAATACGCTAACTACGACAAGCTTAAAACAGCTATATCTGAAATAATCTGACCTGAGTACGATGGGGATGTTGAGAACAGTGCCTTACACTTTAGTAAAATCTTGAATAATATATTCAGTAAACTCATTCCTCTTGTTAAAGAAAATACCGGACCTCGTTGTTGTTGTTGTTGTAGCGGCTACTAAGCCCCGTTCGGGGCGGTTCATCCATCAACGTTGTCGTCTATTTCAGCTGGGGGGAGGCCCAGGAAGTGTGCTACTTCCAGAGGGGCTGTCCATAGGGACAGGGGCGTTAGCTGAGTGGGATTCTCAGGGCATGTGAAGAGGTGCCGGGAGTCATGTGGCGACTCTCCACATGCCGGGCATTGGTTGGGCACAGCCTCGTTGATTCTGCTCAGGTAGCTGTTCAGCCTGCTGCAATAGCCAGAGCGAAGTTGGGCTATTGTGGTGCGGGACTCCCGAGGCAGACAAAGTTCTGTCCCGTCCACGTCCGGTGGTTGTGTGCCTAGAACGGCATTCACAGGGCGGGAGTCTACATAACTTGAGACTGATTCCCTGTGAATGCCGTTCAGGGCCTGTCGGTAGGTTGTCGGGTCCAGAGGTTGTTTTATATACGGCTTTTGTAAAGGTAAATCAACTTGAATTCACTACAAATGTGAACAATGGTTTCAAAAGTAATTATCAAACTGACGTCATTTACACTGATTTCAGCAAGGCTTTTGATAAAGTATCTCATTCAACTCTAATATACAAACTTGATAAAATTGGGTTCCCTCCAATCCTGCTGCGCTGGCTCTCTTCTTATTTCATTGGCAGGAAACAGAGGGTCATCTTTAAAAAATGTTCATCTCGTGTAATTCATGTGACGTCAGGTGTACCTCAAGGTCCCCTTCTGTTTATTTTATTCATCAACGATCTTCCAAATATTTTGAAGTATTCGAATTGCTTAATGTACGCATACGACGTTAAGTTTTTTAAGTTCATTGGTGCCCCAGGAGACAGGAAACAATTACAGGTGGACCTTAGTAATGTGTTTAAATGGTGCGAAGTAAATTCTATATCACTTAACTTGAAAAAGTGTAAATTTATATGTTTCTCTAGAAAACCCTTTCAATCATGCACAGTAGATTTTGCTCAGCTGCCCATCCTTCTGTGCACGAAAAACTTGTGCACTTAACCGAAAAAAGCACTTAAGCGAATTTTCTTTACTACTTCAATGAGGAAGGTATCCGAATCCCTATGAAACCAAATAATGGAGGAGCACTTACCACGTGGAAATTACTGCAAGCGAAATTTTTACCGAATGGTATCTAATTATCTATATAACTACATTAATTGATAGCCATTTTCGTTGTTCTGCGAGATGAGCAAAATAAATAAAAGCTTGTAAAATTAGGTAATTGTAGGGCCAGTGCAGGTAAACCTAATACTTTATTTGATAGTTAATAATAGTAGCACAATTTTTAAGGCAGGTATCGCCAATGTGCAGGTATGTTGAATGCATCTATCGGAGGAGTTTCCTTATAAATGTTAAAAATAGGTATCTTAAATGTGCACTTAAGCATAAAGGCAGCAAAGCAAAATATACTGTAGCTACCGCATTTGTGAACATAGTGTTGATCAGGTAACTAATTTCATCGATCTAGGCGTAACCATGGACTCTAAGCTTGAATTCAAGTCCCATGTAAACTCTTGTGTTAATAGAGCCAAGGGCGTCTTGGCTTTCATCAAACGTTGGGCTAAAGAATTCAGAGATCCTTATGTTACTAAAGCTCTCTTCGCCTCCCTAGTCAGGCCGATCTTAGAATACGGGTCCGTCGTATGGAACCCTAGATATCAAACGCACTCTGACAGACTCGAGTCGGTACAGAAACAATTCTTATTATTCGCATTAAATAATTTGCCTTGGGATTCGACATTAAATCTCCCACCGTACAAAAGCCGCTTGAAGCTCATAAATTTGCCAACGCTGCACAGCCGTAGATAGATGCTCGGGGTTTTGTTCATGATTAAGATCTTGAACGGGATGGTCAATAGTCCCTTTCTACTGAACCAGATCACGTTTTGTATTCCTTCTAGGCCTTCTAGACATTACAAGCCCATTAAGTTAACTGTTTGTAGAGCAAATTTTGAAATGCATGATGCTTTTCGTTGCCTATGCCAGGACTTTAATAAGCATTACGACTATTTTGACATCTCCGACTCACATTTTACCATTAAAAAAACCTTACTTGAGATTTTGAATAAATAACATGTAAACCCTTACATTGCACCTTATCGTTCAGCTGGTGAACTGTATTTCTGTTCAGTTTATGAGGTAAACGTAAACGTGAATCGCTTTTTTGTAACTAAATAAATTAATATCTTTAACCGGGAACGATAAATTACACAATATCTATGACTGCTTAGTACAACTGTAATCGGCTTCGTATATTTTCGCGACCGCGTAAGACAATACGAGCATAGATCTGAAACTTGGCCTTTCCGACCATGATCAACAGCTTGTCCACAGCGCGGAGCGGAAACTAGAGCTTTCCGCCTGCCACACACTCAAAGTAATGACTTCGGGAGCATGGATCGAAAACTCGTTCTTTCTGACCATGCTGAACAGCTTGTCCACAGTTTAGGGTGGCCAGATATTATAGTGACATAATCAGTACAGTTGGGATCAAAAATCAATACAAAGCCATAAAAATCAGCTCATTTTTAAGCGTATTTTTATACCCGAGCGCACTTGTGCACAAGGGTATATTAACTTTGTTCACATAACGGTTGTTTGTAACAGCCAAAACGAATCAAGATAGATATAGACTAATGTATACATAAATGCTTAGAATGAATAAAGAAGTCGATTAAGCCATGTCTGTCTGTCCGTCCGTCCGTGTACACGATAACTCGAGCAAAAATTGAGATATCTCAACGAAATTTGGTATGTAGGTTTCCATTTATCCAAGGTAGGTTGGTATAGAAAATGGGCGAAATCGGACTGTAACCACGCCCACTTCCCATATAACGGTAATTTTCAGAAATGCGAAAACTGCGATATTTTAGTAACTATTAAAGATTATTCACTCAAAATTGATAATTATAATACATTTTTGACGAAAAATAAGAATATATAAAGTTTTGGAAAATGGGCGTAGCCACGCCCACTTATGGTTACATGTGCATAACCGCTGCACCAATTTCTTTCAAACTTGGCACAGTAGTTGACCTTAATACAGCATACCAAATGGCAGAGCATTTTTAAAATCGGACAATAACCACGCCCACATCCCATATAACGGTAATTTAGAGAAATACAAAATCTTCGATAAATCAGTAAATATTAAAGCTAATTTATTCAAAATTGATGCTTACAACAATTCTATACCAAGAAATACGTTTATAATAAAATTTTGGAAAGTGGGCATGGCGCCGCCCACTTATGATCAGATATATGTATCTCGGTAACCGTTCTACCAATTTGTACCAAACTCGGTATGGTTATTGTGCTTGCCACATCAAAGCAAAACGTTGAAAATTATCGAAATCGGAATAAAATTACTTCCGCTTTTCATATAACGGTAAATTTCAGAAATCTTGAAACTTCAATATTTCGAAATTTAAGGACGCTAATTTTCTGAAAATTGATACACCCCGGCTTACTATGTAGCGATAGCTTTCGGAAAGGTGAAAAACATATATTTAATACTAGCGCCGGGTATTTAATGTTCGGCTCCGCCCGAACTTAGACTTTCTTACTTGTTTATTATTAACAATATAACAACCAAATAACAGCCCATTAATTTAACAAAAAAATAACGAATAGACTTTTAAATACATATAGTATTATCAATATAAAAATTCATTACTTTAAAACAAATCAAAGGTATTACGTATGTATGTACAGCTGTGCTCACGAAAATAGTAGTAAAATGTATTGACAGGTTTTGAAATTTTTTTCTTTCCTTACTTAATTTAATATTTTTATAAAAATATAGTTAATTCTATAACAAAAGACAAGTGAGTTGAAGTCTCAAACTTTCTAGGAAATTTATAAAAATTGAGAAAATTAAGTAGAAGACGAGCTCGAGTCAGAATCTGTTTTCATATTTTAAGCTACAAATTTAAAACATATTTAGTTGGTGTGCTTATAAAATACAACATTCAGTTTGCACCTTTTCCAAATTTTTAGAACTTACATTGCACCGTAGGAGTAGTCGTCTTAAGTTTGACATACTGACAGCCGATTTCTCAGTGGATGTTTAATTATAATCAAAACATTATCTCTTATTGTCATTTTCTCAGTGTACTTAATATATGATTAACTCACCACCACCTTTCATAAGATTTATTAATGGCGAAAGCAGCTTTTCCTGTAAATCCCGTAAAACCTGCAAATCGTGAAGTTGGGTTGGGTTGAATCCAAACAGTTTCTTATTTTGCGAAATCCTAGGAA